GCCTCGGTTTCCCTGTGTGCGTGCCACCTCGCTCCGGGGTTGCAGACCGTGCCTGGTGCCCGGCCTCCTCTTCCGCTCCCACCCGGGGCCGACCCGGTGGACCCGGAGAAACGGGGAGGGGGCCCCTCGGGCGTGCTGGCCCCCGGCTGGTCTGTGCGCGGGGAGAGGACCACCCTGGACCGCAGGGACTGCCGGGTCCGGCGCTTCCGTGCGCTCAGCCCCGGACCTGCGGCGCCCGAGGCCTTGGCGGAGCCTCCCTGGCCCTGCGCGCTCGCCCTGGAGTCGCGGAGAGCTGGTGCAGCAGGACCCCATGCCCTGTGGACGCTGATACAGAGTGGCCGCCCCTCATATGCACGGGCAGAGGGACACTTCCTCCCCCTGAATGCAGTCCTGAGATTGGACTGCTACCCTCGCCACCTGTGCCCCGCGGAGCCCGTGCAGATATCGTCATTGCAATTGGACACTGAGCCCCACCAGGTGTGGGTTCCAAAGCATAGTTTTCTACGAAAGGAGTCCTGGTGGCGTAGTGGGCTGTTCGAATCCACGGGCCACTTCTTGGAGAAGCTCATCTTTTTCCACATAGGCTTACAGCCTTGGAAACCCAGCTGGGGCTGGCCATGAGCTGGAAGCAATTTGGTGGAGGTGGTGGTGGTGTACTGTCAAGTCGGAACCGACCAAGAGCTAACCCTCTGCACTTTTCAGAGGCAGTTCATCGCGGGAGAGGAGGTTGCCCCTCTTTCTCCCGCAGAGCAGCTGGTGGATTTGACCCGAGTGCAACTGCTTGCCTCTAGGCCAGCAGAGCTCCCTGCGACCTCGTGGGAGTGGGTGAGGATCTCTTAGATGTGACAGTATCTCATCTCATTGCCGTTCAGTCTGAGGTGATGCCACCCTCTTGCCGCTCAGCAGATTTTCAAAGGCTTTAACTCACACAGGAGGAGATTGCCCGTCTTTTTCCCTTGGAGGGGCTGGTGGATTTGAACCAGGTGTGTTTGGATTGATCGTGCAGCTCCCTATTCATGAGGCCACCAGAGCTAGGATGCTTTATCATGATCAAGGTTTTAAGCACTGTTGAGTGTGACCAAAATGTTGAAAAATTGGCACTGACGATTTACTTGATGAAAGGTACTCACAAACTTCCAATTTGTGAAAGAATTCAGTAAAGTGAAGACAAATTAACTGAAATTATCGGAAAGCATGCCCATTGGGTGGTGGGGAAGTCCCCTCCCACAGTGTGTCCCGATGTGTGTGCTCCGTCAAAGATGTGGAAGCCCCACACTTTTGAGGTAGGTGATGGAGGCAGTCCTCACACTACAGAAGAGGAGACTGAGACCCAGCATGAAGAGGCACGTGCGAAATGGGGCTGGGGGTGTCCTGAGCCCCGCTTCCCTCCCAGCACCTAGGGGGTACGTTTGCCGGGACCAACTTGTACAGCCTGCAATTTCCGCCTGTCTCCTGAAAGTGCTGGCAAGGAGATAGGCACAGAGCCTCCTGCAGGTGGAAGTGTCTGCCCCAGAAAGGCCCGCGGGGGTGCTCAGCCCTCAGAGGTCTGTGGCAGGTGCTGACAGACAGGGATCTTCAGGCATCTCAGAACAGGTGGTCTGGTGACCCCCACTTTTCAGGGTAGAGGTCATGGCTGTGACTGAACCAGGGTCGCCACCTCTGCTTTCTGGGCAGTGTTTAGACAACAGATCTTACAAACGGAAGGTGTGTCCTGTGACAGGAGTAAGGGGCCCCTGCCATGGTCCTAGACATGTGGCTGGGTGAGTCCCAGTCCAATTGCCTGGGCGGGGTCAGGACCTAAAAATATCCATGGTGTCCAGGTCCAGGAATGCAGTACACTGGCCATGGCCGTGAAGAGCAGCAAGTGCTGCCCTGCCTAGTACTGGCTGGTGGGTTTGTCCTCACGCCTGCAGCGCCTCATCTCGCCCTTCACTCCTGTGTGACTGGAAATGCACCCCGAGATGACCTGGTGGGTGGAGCTGACTCCTGGAGAGGTGCTGCTACCTCAGACCTTATGCCTCAGTTTCCCCATGTCCCGGTGGTCACAGGGACCTCAGAAACTGAAGCCAGTGAAGGGTTTTGGAGGTTGGATGGGCTGTGGACGGGTTGCACTGCAGTCAGAGCCGTAGGTGCAGGAGTGAGGCGTGGCCTTAGCTGAGGAGGGGTAAGGAGTCCTGATGGTGTACTGACCACATCTGTCCCTGAGAAAGCCCGCCTCCCTGGGAGTCTTACTGCATCCTTCACATGTAGGTCCGGTGAATCACAGCGGTCACTAGGACAGCTGGCTGGCTTGTATCTTAAGAGATAAGGGCTGCACAGCACTGGTGTCACAGACATTGTTCAGTAGAGGCCATACAAACCCCAGCTGATTGCTAGTACACGCAGGTGACAAGCATGCAGGTGGGCCACCAAAGAAAGGTGAGCGTGGGTCTGACACGAGTGCACAGTTTGGGCCCCTCACTTGTCTC